ATGGCAACTTCTGCAAATAGTAACAAGTATGCCTCAGAAAGTTGTCTCAGGGCTAAGGTAAGAAATCTTTTCTACTTAAAACATATGTCATTGTCTTGTCTTCCAAATCCATACTGCATGGTTAAATGATTTGACATTGGCACATTGGACCCCAATTGAACGAACATTTCTTCAAAGTTTTGTTAAAAGATGAAACACATTCTCCTTATGGTAATTGATTGGCCCTCGGCAATTTGAACCTTAATGTGCAGTAAATTTATGTTCCCTATGTCCTGTTATTGTGGCTGAGAAGAGAAACTTATGCTGCTGCCCTGTCACCACATCAGTAGAAAGGTTCAAAGTTTGCCTTTCAACTTCATCTAAGGGCACTTTTTTTTGACATCTCTTTTCATGATTATTTTTTTATTAACATTGGTGGCTAATTTTATAACTATAAGTGGGACGCATTTCTCTTCTATATTGTGCTCACCTGAATGATATTTAGGGAGATCTTTGATTGGATACATAGAATAAACAATTTTCGGCATAGTTGTCAAATCGTGTATCGGAAGTCATATCGTTTTTTTAAAAATAGTGTATCATATCGTATCATGTATCATAAGATACGCGCAATTTTAATTTTAAATAATTATTAATAAAATATATGTATATACTTTGTAAAAAAGTCAAACTCATAATAACATAGTATTTTATTAATATTGCATCAACTGTTCAAGTTCCCAACATAATTTAGTAATATCAAAATGCAAAACCTCTAATTCAAACTTTTAACATCAACTGCTTGAAGAATTTTAATATTAATCAAGACTTTTGAATTCAATTGAACAATATTAACAACAGACTTTATTTATTTTTTTAAACCATAACCATTGAAACGAAGATGTTTCACTGGCTAGTGATTTAAAAATAAGTCCTGAAGTAAAACGATGTCATTTCAACCCCAAAAAACCAAAAAAAAAACAGAATCGTTACGTATCGTATCGTGTATCGTACGATACGGTACAAAAACGATATAGAAACACAATACGTATCATTTTTCAAGTATATCGTGACGTATCGTACGATACGTATTGCGTATCGTACGATACTAATAACTATGATTTTCGGGAGTTTGGTTGATGAAAAGAGACTGGTTCAGCTCTGATGTTACCTGTGAATATTATATGGAATTAAAATCTCAAGTACAGAAAATTAACCTAATTGTCGGTTCAAATTTATTTCTGCCATCTATTATCATCAAACAATCATTTTTGTTCTTATGTAATGTGACTTGGCAGGAGGAGAAGGTTGACTCCATGTTGTCGTCATGCGTTACTAATTGTAGTGGTGAAAAGGACGATACAGGAAACAAGACTTGCACCATTATCTCATCTGAACAAGAGGGTATCCCAAATTGTTCACTGGCCCCTTTTCAAACGAATTCTAATAGTCTTGAAAATCTACAAGTTTTCCTAGCTTCAAAAGAAAAGGCATTGTCGGAAACTGCCCTGAGAGTTCTGCTCCGGAAAAGGGAAAACCTGGTATTACCTTTGTGGCTGAAACTTGCGTAATGTTTGCTTGTGGTTTTTGCTATACCAACTTCAGCTTGAAA